GGATCTCATCTGTCTTTCTGGGACTACAGTCAGGGGACTCATCCCACTTATCTGGGGTCCTTGTGACCAGGGGTTCGGCTGGCCCAGAGGCCATAGGGATTACCCCAGCCTCTCTGGGCTGCATTGATGACAAGAGTGATTCGACCAGATTTGTGCTTTAGAAAAAGCATTCGGTAGGTTGGTAGGCAGCCTCCTTCTGCCAGGAGATGAGGCGGGAGGCTACGGCCGTTGCCCACAGAAGCTTCTGTGCTGGCCCGCTTAGGAGAGAGACCCAAGAAGCCAGCCTCACCTGACTTGTAGGCTAACCAGGAGAAAATATTCCTGAAGTCACTTTTAAAAAAAAATAATTGATTAATTTGGCTGCGTTGGGTCTTTGTTGCTGTGTGTGGGCTTTCTCTAGTTGTGGCGAGCAGGGGCTACTCTTCGTTGCAGTGCGTGGGTTTCTCATTGCGGTGGCTTGTCTTGTTGGGGAGCACGGGCTCTAGGCTCGCGGGCTTCAGTAGTTGTGGCTCGTGGGCTCTAAAGCACAGGCTCAGTAGTTGTGGAGCACAGGCTTAGTTGCTCTGTGGCATGTGGAATCTTCCCGGACCAGGGCTCGAACCTGTGTCCCCTGCATTGGCAGGCAGATTCTTAACCACTGTGCCACCAGGGAAGCCCCCCGAAGTCACTTTTTCCCTCTCAATGCACGTGTACTTGAACTTTTTGCAAAGGAGTAGGTTGCTATTGTCTCCACACAAGTCCTCCCATCAAAGGAAAAAAGACACTCTAGGCACTTCCCTGGTGGTCCAGTGGTTAAGACTCCGCACTTCCAGTGCAAGGGGCACAGGTTTGATCCCTGGTTGGGGAAGTAAGATCCCACATGCAGAGCAGTGCGGCCAGAAGGAAGAAGAAAAAAAGAGACACTCCAAGGCCAGTTATGATTTACCACCACTACAGCCCTGAGATGATTGTTTCTAAGCCATTGCAACCAGATGGGGAAGATATTCCTCCTATTTTTTGTTCTTATCTTTATTTGTTAATTACCTGCATGTCACTGCTGCAGAAGCAGGAGTTCTGGAATATTTGACTTGGTTTTTGAATAAAAGATAACAACTTTAGAATTGGGGTTATTTATAAGACACTGAATCTCAAACTATTTATTTACTTACATCGATTTCTGCACTCACCATTGGAGGGAGAGGCAGCATCGTTCAGGCCTGGGTTATCCCGCTGATCACAGTGGTTTTTAACTGTCCAAGTTTCCATCCGTCTCCCCTCCTAGGCTCCGAGTTCCCAAAGGGCGGGGACTGCAACGTATTCATTTCAGCATCCCCGCACCAGCACAGGGTCTGACACAGACTAAACGTTCTGTGAATAAATAAATGATGTACACTGGATGGATGAGGGCATGTCAGATGTCAGATGGAGGAGTAAATGGATGTGGATGGCGTTTTGATGAATGAGTGGGCAGTTGTTGGATGGGAGGCTGGAGGGAGGCTGGAAGGATGGCTCAGAGTGACAAGAACAGCCAGTGTTCCATATTCAGTGGAAAGAGAGATCCCTTTGGGCCAGTCAGGAGGTCTTCCTAGGAACGGAGAAAATTGTGCTATGTTTTGAAAACCAAGGAGGACTTGGATATAAGGAAAGGGAAATGATGGTTGATCCTCAACTGTTATTTCAGCTGCTTGGGGGCAGGAACTGGCTGGGAATAAAGAATTGAGCCAGATCCTAGCAGCCTTCGAAGCCCAACTAAGAAGCTTTGACTGTTAGGTCTCCTGCTAATTAACCACCATATATTAAGTCTAATTATTAGTGTATGTGATGTCTCCATATCCTCACAACAACTTCTCAGGGGAGGGATTATCTTCTCCATTTATAGTTAAAGAAATAGGCTTAGAGAGGGAAAGTAATTTGCCCTAAGTTACACAGCAGAACTGCAGTTTGAACTTGAGTTTTAGTGACTCCAGTGCTGCTCACTCTATCAATGACGTCCCTGAGAACACAGGGGTTTTGAGCTAGGGCCAGAGTGGGGGTAGGGGTGATGTCAGGTTTAGGTAGTTGTATCCAGGCAGGGTGTCTCCCCAACTACACTATGAGCCTGGGCAACTCTGTCTCACCCTCCTTGCCAGGACCCTGTGCCAGCTGAATCGAGAGCATCCAGCTGGACCCCAAACCACCAGGACTCCCTAAGGCCTAGCAGAGTCAGGGTAGAAAGGAGAAGAGAAGTGGGTGGGGCAGGAGCTTTTGGGAGGGCAAGCAGCCTGGGGAGTTTCTCCCCCAAGGTTGGCAGGCCACTGGATTCAAAACCAGAAGGGCCCTTAGAGGTCATTTAGTCTGGCAGCCTCTATGTAAGAGGATCTCAAGACCCACAGAAAAGGTAACCTGCCCAAGTAAGCCAGGAATCAGTGTCAGACTCTCAACCAGAAACCACATGTCTTAACTCCCGAGCCAGTGCCAACTGGGAAAGGTGATGTGTTGGTGCCAAGGTGGGACAGGAGGCAGACAAAGGTAGAATGGCTGGCTGGCTCTGCCACCAACCTGCTGTGTGACCTTGGGCAAGTCACTTCCCCTCTCTGAGCCTCATGGTTTTTCTTCTGAGTTAATGATCTCAGCAGTGCCTTTCTGCCAAGAAGTATCCAGTGAGAGATGAACTTGGAAGGCTCTTTACAATCTGCAGAGCTCAGGGAGGGGAGTCACCAGCAAGAGGCAGGCTGGTGCCAGGTGGGTGGGTGCCAGGGTTGGGCCTGCAGCTTCCTGGGTCTCTGCCCAAGCTTTGCCATCTGTGTGGTACCATCAGCTCCATCTCCTCTTGCCTCCCTGCCAGGAAAAAGGCTTCTGGGATCCTCTTACTTTATCAGGATCTTCTTTCTTCCTCCCTAGGCAGACCGTCTTCTCTCTCCTTCTATGTAGTCAGGACTCTTGGGTGCAAGTGACAGAATCAGAAGTACAAGGAGGGAGAATTTGTTTAGGCATGGCTAGATCCTCAGACCTAAAACGATGTCTCCCAGACACTCCCCTTGCTTGTTCACTCTTCCTCCCTCACTCTCTTTCCTTTAGCTTTGGCTTCCTCCTCAAGCAGGCTGTCCCCCAAGTGGTGGCAAAGACAGCCACCAACAGCTCTCAGCTGACACTACGGCCATCCAGGTATCTTGGCAGGTGGCATCTCTGTCCTGATGCCCCAGCAAGTATCCAGGAGAACTCTCAGAGTGCAGGCTGAGTGCCCATCCCTGGACAGATCACTGTGTGTTGCCTATTTGCTTAGACTTGGGTCACTAGCCCACTGCAGAAATTAGAAGTCGGGGGACTTCCCTGGTGGCGCAGTAGTTAGGAATCCACCTGCCAATGCAGGGGACACGGGTTCAAGCCCTGGTCCAGGAAGATCCCACATGCCGTGGAACAACTAAGCCCGTGCGCCACGACTACCGAGCCTGCGCTCTAGAGCCCATGAGCCACAACAACTGAGCCCGCATACCACAACTACTGAAGTTCACGTGCCTAGAGCTTTGCTCTGCAACAAGCGAAACCACTGCAATGAGAAGCCCGCGCACCGCAACAAAGGGTAGCCCCCACTCGCCGCAACTAGAGAAAGCCTGCACACAGGAACGAAGACCCAACACAGCCAAAAATAAATAAATTAAATAAATAAATTTATTAAAAAAAAAAAAAAGAAATTAGAAGTGAGCTCAGCCCCACCCAAGCCACATGGACTGAGGGTCTGGGAGGCAGTTTCCAAAACAAAGAGATAAGTTCTGTCAACAGAAGAAGGAATATGGGACAGTCAATAACAACTGGTATCATTGGTACCTTTGTTCCTAAATATATCAGCTGAAAGGTTGAACCAGGGTCTTCTGGAAAGGGAGTGTTGATTGAGTCCTATATCAGTTACCTTTTGCTGTGTAACAAATCCCTCCAAAATGCAGTGGTTTAAAACAGCCATTTTAGGGAATTCCCCGGTGGTCCACTGGTTAGGACTCAGCACTTTCACTGCCATGGGCCTGGGTTCGATCCCTGGTCAGGGAACTAAGATCGTGAAAGTCGCGTGGTGCAGCCAAAAATTGAAGAAAAAATAAATAAATAAATAAAACAGCCATTTTATTTAGCTCACGATTCTGTGGGTCAGCTGGGAGATTTTTTGGTCTGGCGACCTGTCTTTGGTCAGTTGGTGGGCTGGCTAGCATCTGAATGATCTAGAATGGCCTCACTCATGTGTGTTGATGGTTGACTGGCTGTCAGCTGGGGTGCCTTGGTTCTTTTCCCTGTGGCCTCTCTTCCTCCAGCAGGTCGGCTTGAGCTCTTTCACAAGGTGTTCTCTGTGTTACAAGTATAACAAGTGGGCAAGCTCCAATGCACCGGCGTTTTTCAGGCCTTCACTTGCCTCCTCTTTGCTGAAGTCCCCCTGAACAAAGCAAGTCACATGACCAAGCACAAAATTAGCGTGGAGGGCACTGCTAAAGAGCATGGAAGTAGGAAGAGAAAGAATTTGAGGCCAATTGTGCAACCTACTACAGCTCCCTCAGGGACAGGGAGTGAAAAAAATCCCTTTTCTCTGTAGCCCATGGATCCCATGGGCCAGGGCAACCTCCAGATAGGGGTCCTTGGAAGAACGTGACCAAGCCCCCGGGCTTCCCCGGGGTCTCCAGGGCCCTGGCTCAGCCCTAGGCCAGAGCTAGGGGGAGGCAGTCTGGATCCTGACCACGGGCAGAGACCCGCCCCCCAGGGAAAGTATAGGTGCCAATGGGGAGGCTTCTTGGCAGGGAGGAAGGCGTTCTGAACCCCAGCTCCCATCTCCCTTTAGCCCACCCCAAAGTGATGAACAGGGCTCTGTCCCGCTCATCCTCACAGACGTGTCCTCACCTCCCAGCATCCCTTTGGTACTGCGGGGCTGGGATGGCGCTGAGACTTGTATATAATCAGGTCATGGTTCCTCATCACCATGGTAACTGGTGTCACCTGCTCCACAGGGTTGAAAAGGAGTACCTGTCCTCCTTTTTTAGGTGGTGACTGTGGCCTCAGCCTGCTCTTTCCCACAGGTGGCTGCGTTGGAGCGCCAGATCTTTGACTTCCTGGGCTACCAGTGGGCTCCTATCCTAGCCAACTTCCTGCACATCATGGCAGTTATCCTGGGCATCTTTGGTACCGTGCAGTACCGCTCCCGGTACCTCATTCTGGTATGGCTCACTTGGCCTCTCCACAAGCCAACCCCCTCTTTCTCATCCCCATCCGTTCCCACCTTGTTCTGCAGCCAAAGCTGCCCTCCACCCTGGGCACCTAGACCCCTGCCTCTGGCTGGGCTCCAGCCCAGCTGGTGATGTGGATGTTCAAATCCCAATGCTTCTTTGCTCAGTGGAGACAAAATTAGTATTTTTCCTAAAGAATTTTCTACAGAAAATTCCAAATATTAACAAGGTATTATCATTTAGTGAGTGCCTGCCATATGCCAGGCACATGCTAAGAGTTTCACCTGCTTTACTTATCTTTACGACAGCCCTGCGAAGTATATCTTATCTCCATTTTCCAGATGAGGAAATGAGGCTCAGAAAGGTGACAAGGCTTCCTAAAGTCACACAGCTAATAAGTGGCAGGGTTAGAGCATCCTGTCCAGAGCGAAGGCTCCTGCCGCATCACCACGCTGCCCAGTAAGCCCGTGCGAGGGATGGACTTTGTCTTGTTTGGTTTCTCAAATGCTTCAGGAAGGCTTGGCTTCTGTCCCTTGATGTTCATCAAAAATGCGGTCTAGTGTGGCTAGTGTGGCCTTGAGGCCAATGCCTCCTGTGCCCCAATCCCAGGAGTGCATTATGTCCCTGGCTCCCTCCTCCTACTTCCTCTTTCCAAGTTCTGGTCCTTGATTATCAAACTCCTGTTTTCAACTAGTCTCATCCTTGTCCCTTGCTCTTCCTCAGTGACTCATTTATACACCTCTCTTGAGGGAAAAGGCTTTCCGATAGATTCACTACAGAAATGCTTGACAACCCAAAGTAACAATGCCATGTAGTGTCATGCCCCCCCCAGAGCCCATTCATGCTCATTCTAGGGCTTCTCCACACCTCCCACAGGCTCAGTTCCAGAAGCCAGGTGAACAGGGCCCTTCCAAAGCTCTCCCTCACCTGAGATAAGAGGACCCTTCTCTCCAGTTCTCAGGAAAGCCCCCGGCACCACTGTAAATGGCACTGTCTGCCAGACGTCTGCCACTGGCTTAGGCATAGGATTTGGGTGGAAATAGCCAGCTCCTCTCTAGTTCTTTGCCATGGGCAGGATGCCATCTGGTGTCTGTGGTTCTCTGCAGAGTGGATAGGATTAGCTACCAGAGGACTTAGGTTTGCATGCCAGCCCTACCTCTTCCTAGCTGTGTGATCTTGTTAAATGTCAACCTCTCTGAGCCTTAACTTAGTTATCTTTAAAGAGAAAGACAGCGCCTTCCCTGCAGGGCTCTGGTAAGGACCGGATGGATGTAAAATGATGTGTAAACTATATTGCTTTCTGAGTGAGGCATTGTCATAGTTTCCCCTGCAAAGGTCTCCTCTGTCCATTGACCCGCCCCATGCCCACTCCTCCAGGCCCCACCCTGATCCCACCTCTGCTTTCCCCAGTATGCAGCCTGGCTGGTGCTTTGGGTTGGCTGGAATGCGTTTATCATCTGCTTCTACTTGGAGGTTGGACAGCTGTCCCAGGTAAGCCTCAGGCCTGGCAGTGCCAGAGAGCAGAGACTGACCTTTCCCATCCCCTGCCCCAAGGGCTCCTGTGGTGTGGGTCTCAGGGGCATCATCTCTTGAAGAGACCGCCCTCTACACATTCGAGTAATCTGTGCTCCCTATCCCCCATCCCTACGTTTTCATTTCTGGCATCCTCTGTACTTCTTAAAAACAAATGATGGGGAATTCCCTCGCGGTCCAGAGGGCGGCTTACCCTCTCTGAGCTCCAATTTCGTCATCTAGTAAGTATAGTTGATAGAAACCCCAATTTCATGTGCTTGCTGAGGGGATGAAAGGAGATCAAACATCTCAGTGCTTGGCACCAAGTCAGCATGCAGTGAATATTTGTTAATAGACTGCCTGAGTGAATGGACTGAGGAAAACAGATGCACACGTGGGTAAGAACTTCTGATGTAGGCCAGCCCCTTCTCCATTTCAAAAGGGGAGACCAGGGTCTAAAGAGGTTTGCCCAGGGTCACACACAGGGAGCAGTGGAGAGGCTGAATGGGCTGTGAAGGGGTCTGTATTGAGGATTTCACCAACAGCTGGATAATTGGACCCGGTCACCATTAATGTCCCTTCCAGCCCTGAAATTCTGAGACTCCTGTGGGTTTGAACCAGCCCCTTCCATCTCTGATAGAGGAGTGAGGCCTGCATGGTCATCAAGCGCCACCTACTGGCCAAATGTAGACTTGCAGATACAGACTTCCTCCATACCTTTCGCAAATCAAGCCAGGAAAGGAAGCTGTTACAACAACCCAGGTGTGAAGCAGACCTTATATAAAGTCTTCTGGAGGGAATTCCCTGGCGGTCCAGTGGTTAGGACTCGGCACTTTCACTGCCGGGGCCCGGGTTCGATCCCTGGTCAGGGAACTAGGATCCCACAAGAAGTGCGGTGCTGCCAAAAAAAAAAAAAGAAGTCTCCTGGAGCCTGAGGAGGATTTCCGCCCCTCCCCGCCCCCCCAGCCGCCTCCGGCCCAAGCTCAGTATCCTAGGCCCCTCTGCCCCTAGGACCGGGACTTCATCATGACCTTCAACACATCCCTGCACCGCTCCTGGTGGATGGAGAACGGGCCAGGCTGCCTGGTGACACCTGTCCTGAACTCCCGCCTGGCCCTGGAGGACCACCATGTCATCTCGGTCACCGGCTGCCTGCTTGACTATCCCTACATAGAAGCACTCAGCAGCGCCCTGCAGATCTTCCTGGCTGTGAGTTCTCCCTACCCGCTGCCTGCCCCAGCCCTGCCCTAGGCACTTTACACACACAGTTACATGATCCTCTTTCCTCTTAACAAGCCAGTAAGGTATTGCCCAGGTCCAACTGGGGAAACTGAGGCTCAAAGAGGTAAAATAATTACTTGTCCAAAATCACACTCCCAGAATGGAGAATGAAACCAGGTATATTAAGTTTAAGGCGCAGTCATTTGACTTGGAGTCGTTATGGGTTTGCCTTCCTCTTAGCACACATGGCCCCCGCCAGCGGGGGTGGGCAGGGCCAGGCAGGGGGTGAAGGAAGAGCTTCCCTCTCCTCCCTCCCTCCCTCCCTGACGCGCTGTGTCCTCCCCCAGCTGTTCGGCTTCGTGTTCGCCTGCTACGTGAGCAAAGTATTCCTGGAGGAGGAGGACAGCTGTGAGTGCGGAGCCCCTAGGGAACTGGGGAAACCTGGCCGCGTGCCACCCCACGCAGTCAGCACCCTGGACAGGGGCCAGAGCAGGAGGGAGCCCTGGGTTATTTAAGGCAGCAGTCCCCAACCTTTCTGGCACCAGGGACCGGTTTCATGGAAGACAGTTTTTCTGTGGACGGGGCGTGGGGGGGTGCTTTCAGGATGATTCAAGTGCATTGATTTATTATGGCCTCTGTGCAGTCAAACCTCTCTGCTAATGATAATCTGTATTTGCATCCGCTCCCCAGCACTAGCATCACGGCCTCAGCTCCACCTCAGATCATCAGGCATTAGATTCTCATAAGAAGCGTGCAACCTAGATCCCTCACATGCGCAGTTCACAGTAGGGTTCTTGCCCCTATGAGAATCTAATGCCGCTGCTGATCTGACAGGAGGCGGGGCTCAGGCGGTAATGTGAGCGATGGGGAGCAGCTGTAAATACAGATGAAGCTTCGCTCGCTTGCCTGCCGCTCACCTGCTGTGTGGCCCAGTTCCTAACACCAGTACCGGTCTGTGGCCTGGGGGTTGGGGATCCCTGATTTAAGGGGCCCCTCTGGGGGCTGGGGAAAAAGAGGCAGCAGGGTGTGTGGGGATCTGCATAGCCAGCCCATTCTGGGCTGAGGCCCAGACGTCCGGGTGCCCAATCCAAGGCTCCAGCACTGCCCCCCTACCTGCCCCTCTTAGGCCCCTTCCTGTCGCTCTGAGGGGCTCCACAGCCCCACTCCTGTCAAGCACCGCCCATTCCCAGTTCGTCCCACTCCCACCCCCAACAGGTCTTGCCTCCCTGCACCCTTCTCCCTTAAAGGGCCACCCTCCCCATCCACCCCCCAGCTCTCTATCCTCTTGGGCCTTGGCCCATCCATCAGGACACTGCAACAAAGCCCAACCCCTAAGGCCCTGTACAGGGTCTGGTCTCAGATTCCTCCCTTTCAGGACCCAGCCTCCCATAACTTGCCCCCTTCACAGGCCCATCTCTAACCACGTGCCATCTGCCCTTCCGCAGTTGATTTCATCGGCGGTTTTGACTCCTATGGATACCAGGCGCCGCAGAAGACGTCGCATTTACAACTGCAGCCTCTGTACACGTGGGTCATGGCGCGGAGCAGGGTGGGGTGGAGGGACCCCGGCGCGGGCGTTAGTGTAGGAGAAAGAAGGGGAGGGAGGAGCGGAGAGGGCAGCCAGATCTCTCCGCCTCCCTACTTAGGGGTCCACTTCCCTAACCTGCCTTTGTTTCCTCCAGGGCGGGGTAGTAGCTTCTGCCCCACGACCACCCCCGCGGCTAGATAGACTGACCGCCGCAGCCGCGAGCTCTGGCCAAGATGGCAGGCGTGCCCCCTGGCGGCTCGCTGACTGGACTGCAGCCTGGGTCGGCTTGACGTGGGTCCGAAGCAGACATGGACTTGGCGCTTAGCCGCCTGGACTTAAGGGGTGGGGCGGGGGAGGGGCGGGGGAGGGGGTTCGCGGGGTTTGTATTTTTTTATCTCCACCTTGGTGTGTGCCGGAGCCTCCTGCCCTTCTCCAGCCTCTCCCTTTCACCCTTCTTCACCCAGCATCCTGTCCCCTGTCCAGAGAGAAAGGACAGGACAGACAGACTTACCCCCATCTCACCACATTCATTCACCAGCCCTGGGGAAAGTTACCCTGAACTAGAAGCAGGAGTTCTGGGTTCTAATCGCAGCTCCATCACTAACTCTCTATGTGACATCTGGCAAAGCCCTTGCCCTCTCTGGGCCTCAGTTTCCGACCTCAGATAATTAAAATAATCCCTTCGTAAGTGGAGCTCTTTCTAGCCTTTTCATTTGACTCTCAATTCCCTGGACTATACTGGGATTTTACATAATCCCCATTTTGCAGATATGGAAACTGAGGCCCAGAGATGTAAAGCAATTTGCTTGAGGCCACACAGCTGGGCTTTTGGTGGCGGCAGGCCTCGAATATGATCTGTAGTTTCAGACTCCAAAACCCATTTCCAAGCCCCCTTCCAACTTGGACACTAGAACCCATGTGATATACACCACACTCACATACCACCACCACCACTTGCTAACTCCTCTCTTAAAGCAATATATACGTTCTCTTGTTGGGAACAGGATGGATGGATCCCAGGGCCCTGAATTCAGCCTGACCCACAGGGAAGCCTTCTTAGACTCGGCCTCTGTCCACCCTTGGCAAAGCTTTCAAGCTCTCTCTAGCAAAGGGGGGACACGACTCAGTCACCCCACCCCCTTCCACGTCCCTGAGCCTGCTGCACCCATGATCCCCCACCCCTTCAGCAACTCTGCCAACCCCTGGTGGCTCCATCCACCTCACCAGTTGGAAGACCTGTGGTTCCAGAGTGGAAAAGCGCTCATCTGTGCTGCCTGGTCAACAGTGTTCAGAGATCACCAGTGTTGATGATCACGCCGGTGTCCAGAAGCAACCTTTGACAAATCCAGTTGTTCTGGAGAGGCAAAATGGGGGTGGGGGTCATAGTGGGGGGTCTGGAGGGCCAGCACCCTTCCTTAAGAGCAAGTAGAGATGAGGGCTCATTCTCCTCGCCTCCCTCCACAGACCCCTCTGAGGACCCTGCATCCTGTGCGCTGGCTGGTGAATCTCAGGGCAGGAGGATCAGGCCTCAGCTTCCAGTTTGTGAAGTAGGAGTGGTCCTGGCTTGGGAAGGAGGGTGGGAGGCATGGGGGAACCAGATGGAAATACAGACGGTTGCACACCTGAGCCCATCCATGGGGACCGTTCCTTGCTCTCCACCCTCTGATCTAGCATTCCCTTCCATCTAAGGCCCAAATATCCTGAACTTGGACCCCACCCCACCATCCCATCTGCAGGTCTGTGCCAAAGAGCCAAACCCAGGAGTCCCTCTGGTCACTACAGGGCCCAAGGTCCCAAATGGTGAGCCTGGTTAGCTATGGGTACAGCTCAGGAGGGCAACAGTTCCCTTCTGGCCTGGCTGCTGCTCTGCTCTTGGACCAAGTCCTGCCTCCAGCCCTCTCTTCTCAGAGCCACCCCCAGCCAGCTGTCATCTCACCCCCAAGCCCCTTTCTACTCAACGACTTGAGCCACTGGTGCTTTGAAGCCTTTTGTTTTTGTAAGATGTTTTTTTCAAGGAGACAGTGTTCTCACTGGGACCTTGCAAGGCAGGAGTGTTGCCCTGGTTTCTGTGCAGGTGGGTTGATTAAAGATGGTGTTTTCCGACTTCCCTGGTGGCGCAGTGGTTAAGAATCCGCCTGCCAATGCAGGGAACAGGGGTTCGAGCCCTGGTCCGGGAAGATCCCACATGCCACGGAGCAACTAAGCCCGTGTGCCACAACTACTGAGCCTGCACTCTAGAGCCCGTGAGCCACAACTACGGAGCCCACGTGCCACAACTACTGCAGCCCTCGTGCCTAGAGCCTGTGCTCTGCAACAAAGAGAAGCCACCACAATGAGAAGCCCATGCACCGCAACAAAGAGTAGCCCTCGCTGCAACTAGAGAAAGCCCGCGCGCAGCAACAAAGACCCAACACAGCCAAAAAATTAAAAAAAAAAAAAAAAAAAAAAAAAAAAAAGATGGTGTTTTCTTCTCTGTCTTTCTGTCCTGCCCTGTGAGTCGGCAGGGTCTTCTAAGGGAGAAGTCTTTGCGTGGAGGGTGGGCAGAGGTTGGGAATCTGTCACTGTCATTATCAGACATTGCTGGGGCACTGGCCTGTCCCTCTGGCTGGCTGTGTAGCTTTGGGCAAGTCACACTCCCTCTCTTTCCTCATCCATAAAATGCAGAGAAGGGATTAAATCAGTGGGTTCCCAAACCTGGCTTTGCAATCCCTTGGAGAGCTTTCTATTTTTCCGATTAAGTGCATTTTAAGGTTATGCTTTCAAATATCCTTTGCATCCTGGCTCTGTCCTCTTCCTAAAAATTCAGTTCCTGACTTGGAATAAGCTGGCAGACAGTACTTTAGACACAGATTCCTGCATCCCAACTGGGACATCCTGGCTCCTTTTCTGACTGTACAAAAAGAATCAGTATTTTGAATTTTAAAATTTTACTTTTGTGTATGAATAGGTAATAAGTATATGTGTACAGGATTCAGAAAGTTCCAGGGGGCTATGTACTCTTACTTATTTTTCATATCTTTCCGAAGATAGTCAAAAATTTTTTAATTATATAAAATTTTTTTCCCCTTTTTCACACAAATGGTAACATATTTTACTCACTCTTCAACTCCCTGCTCATTCACCTAACTCTGAATCTTGGAAATCTTCTCTCAATAACACATGTGGAGGTACCTCCCATTCTTTCACAATGATTTAAGATCCCCAGGTGACCTTGATGGAGTTAGGGGCCAAGAGCCAGAGGTTCTACATAAGGATGCCCAGGTCCACTATTCAAACCTCTGTGGACCATTCCTGGTCGTGGAGTCAGAGGGAAATAAGGAGTTTATGGTCTAGTGGGGAGCCCAGGGGGTGGGCAGGCAGAAGTTGACGCTGCTAGCAGGTGGTCGATGCTGAGGACAGTTTGGCGTGAAAGGTGGTTGTTAATAGGAGCTCGGGAGAGAGGTGATCTGAACATCCTGGATGGACCAACAGCATGAGCAGAGGTGTGGAGGGAGGAAAACCCGTAGTGTCTGGGGTAAAAATGGCCAGAGACGAACTAGCTGGAGGGAGCCTCAGTGGGGAATGTATCCGTCTTCTATCGCTGTCATAAGTCATCATAACTTTAGTCTCTTAAAGCAGTATACATTTGTTATCTTACAGTTCAGTAGAAGTCCAACATGGGTCTCGCTGGGGTAAAATTAAGATGTCTGGAGGGTTGCCTCTCTTTCTGGAGTCTCTAGGGGAGAATCCGTTTCCTTTTCTAGCTTCTAGAGGCTATGTGCATTTCTTGGCTCGTGGCCCCTTTCCTCCATCTTCAAAGTCAGCAACATCACAGCCCTCTGACCTTTTTGTTTTTTCCCTGGCCGTGCAGCATGTGGGATCCTAGTTCCCTGACCAGGGATCGAACCCGCGCCCCCTTGCAGTGGAAGCGTGGAGTCTTAACCATTGGACCACTAGGCAAGTCCCAATCTCTGACCCTTTTTCCATCACATGTCTCTAACCACAGCCAGGAAAGGTTCTCCACTTGTAAGGATTCGTGTCATTGGGTTGGGCCCACTTGAATAATCCAGGATAATTTCTTCCTCTCAAAGTCCTTAATTCCATCTGCAAAGTCCCTTTTGCCATGTAATGCATTCACAGGTTCCAGGAATTAGAATGTGACCCTCTTTGCAGGGCCATTATTCTGCCTTCCCAGAGAAGGAGTCGTATCCAGAAGCCCTGAATGTCAAACCAGAGTGCATCGGCCTGGTGTGATGGCAGGAGGAACTATTGAAGGATTTTGAGCAGAAGCTACTCGATTAGAATTGTCCTACAGAGAGAACTGGCAGGGCTGGGAGGGTGGGCTGGAGGAAGGAAGCAGGAAGCAGTGTTTTGTCTGGAAGAGGCCTAGGGTTTCTTACTTCCCTGTGTAAATGTGTGTTCTTGTGGGTATGTGTGTAAACTTGGGAGGTAAAGGTCAGCATGAACTTCAGGTGTCAGACATCCCTGGGTCCCCGTTCATCACTCTGGAATCAGTCAAGCTGGCCTTCCCACAAAGCCCCGTGTGGCTCCTGCCATCCTGGGGCCATCTCCCAGCAACCTCTGCACATTCGAATAATCCAGGTAGGACATACCTTCCAATAACTGCTGGGTTATAACGGTGCCCAAGCCATTCTTTTTTTTTTTTTTTTTTTGATGTGGACCATTTTTAAAGTCTTTATTGAATTTGTTACAATATTGGTCTGTTATATGTTTTTGTTTTTTTGGCCCCAAGGCACGTGGGATCTTAGCTCCTGACTAGGGATCGAACCCACACCTCCTGCATTGGAAGGTGAAGTCTTAACCACTGGACCACCAGGGAAGTCCCCCCAAGCCATTCTATGAAGCACTAGAATACAATCCCCAAGGTGCATTTGACAAGCATAAGAGTCTCCTGGGATTTGTAGACAGACTAGTGTTTGCTTGAATGCGTTGGAATTGGGTCTTGCTGTTCCTAAACAGACTATAGGCATGAGGGAGGGCCTGACACCAAGACCTTATTGCCTTATAAGAGTCAGTACTCCATAGGCATGGCCCTGGACAGACAGGGTTTCTTAAACTTGCAGAGCATAAGCATCTCTTAAAAATCCAAATTCCTGAGCCTGATCTGAGCCACACTGAACCCAACATCTGGGCAGTGGAAGGAACTTGTGTTTTTCACTAGTGCCCCAGGAGATCCACGTTTGGGAAATCCTAGACGCAGGTAAAGAGGCATTCAAACATTTTTGAAACTTCCCCTCCTCCAGTGTCATGGAAGGCCTACCAAATTATGCCTGCCAGCTCCCT